TTTTTTTTTTTTTTTTTTTGGTACCGGGGATTGAACTGGGGTCCTTCTGCTAGCAAGGCAGGCGGTGGAACCACTGAGCTAAATCCCTGGCTCTAGGTTGGTTCTTCCAGGTGGTGCTGGTAGATAGACCAGGAAACCTTCAAATGAGTGGTTGGATAGGGGTAATTTGGAGATCCTCAAAAGAGAACCCACCTATTTTTGCCTGACTGGTCTCTGCCCAGGTCCTCCACCTTCTGGGTCCCAAGGTGGAAGCTGATCTGCAGAAGAAACCCAAGGTAAGGCTGGAAATGGCTCAGGATTTTGGTGTGTGTGTGTGTGGATGGGTGTGTGTGTGTGTGAGGGGTATAGTAATGTTTCAGGCAGGCAAAGGGAATATCTGACCTTATTCTTCACCCTGCCCAGGAAAGATTATGAAGTAATTTTGGTGCTTTCCTCAGGTGGCAAAACCTCGGTTAGAAGAAATAGACCAGAAGCCAGCAAAAGATGTGGAGAATGGTGAGAGGCTTAAGGTTTCTATCTCATTCAGCTCCCGGACTTTGGGGTGTTCCCTCTGAAGGATCCTTAAAGTCCAGGCTCCTCAGTCCTTTGGCTTATCCAGTACCCTATATTCTGCCTCTGGACTGGGACTACTGGTGTTTCTTTGCCTCAGAAATATGGCACTCATCTCTTGTCCCTAAAATTAGAGAAGACAGGCCTGCTCAGATGTGTTCTGGTTGTAGGATATGAGTAGTAGTTAGATACCTTCCTGAGCTGGATATAACATGGGGCTGCATATCAAGAGGACAAATTTTTCCTGGTTTTGTCTTGCTAGGTGAGCCTGCAGGCCAGACCTTGTCTCTGATGGAACAGCTGCGGGGGGAGGCCCTTAAATTCCACAAGCCTGGTGAGTGGGCACTTTGAAACTCTGGGGAGGGCTAATTCTTGGCATTTACTTCTACAGCCAGACCCCTGGGATAGGAATCGTTGGGCTGCAGCCTGGCCCCCTGGTTTGTTCTGGTCCTGGCAGGTGAGAACTACAAGACCCCTGGCTATGTGACTACTCCACACACCATGGATCTACTGAAGCAACACCTGGAGATCACTGGGGGTCAGGTGTGGGAAAGTGGCTAGGCAAGCTAGTGCCAGCAGGCAACTGCTTGGATACCTGAACTACCTCTATACTGGCTTGTCTTATCACCGTGGCTTCCCTGGGAAGGGGCATCTGTTTTTTTAGGATGGCCTGAGCCTCTGACCTTATTCCTCTGATCTCATTCACCTTAACTCAGGTACGTACCCGGTTCCCGCCAGAACCCAACGGAATCCTGCACATTGGACATGCCAAAGCCATCAATTTTAACTTTGGCTATGCCAAGGTGAGTATGGGTCTGTGGCCCTGGCACTGGCTGCTCCTGTGATTGGGTGCCAGAAAGGTGTCTCTGTTTTGTCTTCTGTTCTTGTTAATGTGCCTCAATGGGCAGAGGCCATGGAGGAACCACCTGTGTGACAGATATCTAGGAATCCATTGGGCTCCCTGGGAAAAACTGAGGAGGCTCTATTGTCTGTCCCAAGTTGGTGTTAGAGATGATTTATCTGGAACATTTAGAAACAGGGATATGAGAGAACTTGAAGAAATTTAAAATTCTGACATGAGAGAGCGCTGAGAATGTTCTAGTTTGATGAGCTATCCTTTTGGGGCTGATGGATATGTGGGAGCTCATGGATACTTTTGCTCTTCTAGGCCAACAGTGGTATCTGTTTTCTGCGCTTTGATGACACCAACCCTGAAAAAGAGGAAGCAAAGTTCTTTACTGCTATTTATGACATGGTGACCTGGCTAGGTATGGACTGGGTGAGGCCTAGGCAGTCCTGGTGTCAGTGAACCTTTTCTTGGGCATGGCCTGCCAGTGGGCGTGTCTTGTGAATGGCTCATTCTGTATTTTGCACTACCTCAGGTTACACCCCCCACAAGGTGACATATGCTTCTGACTATTTTGACCAGTTGTATGTCTGGGCTGTGGAGCTCATCCACAGGTGAGGCCATGCCATAAGTTAGAGCCAGGTAGGCTGACCTCATCATGACTGCTGAGCACTCATACCCTTCCCCACAGGGGGCAGGCTTATGTTTGCCACCAGCGAGGGGAGGAGCTCAGAGGTCACAACTCTCTGCCTTCACCTTGGAGGGACCGGCCAGTAGAAGAATCACTGCTGCTGTTTGAGGTGGGGTCCTGGAAGGGCAGCTGGGTTTGGGCAGGCCAAGATGCTGAGGATGAGATGCCTTTGTGGCTAGAGGCTTCCTAAACTCATCTATGCAGGCAATGCGCAAGGGCAAGTTTGCTGAGGGAGAGGCTACACTGCGGATGAGGCTGGTGATGGAGGATGGCAAGATGGACCCTGTGGCTTACCGAGTCAAGTATACACCGCACCACCGCACAGGGGACAAATGGTGGGTGTGAGCATTTGGTGGGGTGGTGGGGCTTTGGGGCAGGGCAGGAGACAGGATTGTGGGGCCCACTGTCTATGCCCGCAGGTGCATCTACCCCACCTATGACTATACCCACTGCCTCTGTGACTCCATTGAGCACATCACCCACTCACTGTGCACCAAGGAATTCCAATCCCGGTGAGGAAGCTGGGGCCATGGGTGGGGAGGGCCAGTGGGATTCCAGGAGCCCTTTCTGTGGTCTCTCTCTGGTTGCAGTGTTGGCCAGTTCTAACCCTACCCTCCCATGCTAGGCGCTCTTCTTACTTCTGGCTGTGCAATACACTGGATGTCTACTGCCCCGTGCAGTGGGAGTATGGCCGCCTTAACCTGCACTATGCTGTGGTCTCCAAGAGAAAGATCCTTCAACTTGTAGCAGCTGGTGCAGTACGGTAGGTATGGCTATTGGACACATCAAAGCTGGAAGTTTGAGTGTCATGTGCTGTGAAAGAGCTTCTCAATCATCTCATCCACAGGGATTGGGATGACCCACGGCTCTTCACACTCACAGCCCTGAGACGGCGGGGCTTTCCGCCTGAAGCTATCAACAACTTCTGTGCTCGGGTATAGCCCAGTGGGCTGGGTGGGCAAATGAACGCTGGTGTAATAGTATGTAGTTGTGGTTATGACTGATAAACTTTCTTACCAGGTTGGGGTAACAGTGGCACAGACTACAATGGAGCCACATCTTCTGGAAGCCTGTGTGCGTGATGTGCTAAATGACACAGCTGCACGGGCCATGGCTGTGCTGGAACCGCTACGGGTTGTTATCACCAACTTTCCTGCTGCCAAAGTGAGCCTGTCTGAATAGTATATGTGTAGACAACGTGGGTGCATTGGTGTGTGCCTGGGTGTGTTCCTGAGCATATTGTGCCTGATGTAACTCATATACTTGTTTTCTGCTTATAGCACTTAGACATCCAGGTGCCCAACTTTCCAGCTGATGAGACTAAGGGCTTCCACCAGGTTCCTTTTGCATCCATTGTCTTCATTGAGAAGATGGACTTCAAGGAGGTGAATGGTTTCTGAATTGGGTAAAGGGTCCTGTTTGCTGTTATTTCTGGTGCTGGGATCTTTTCATCTCCTCATCTCATCTGTCAGTCCATCTCCTACTTGCTTCAAATGAACCAGACCTTACTACACATGGGGTTGGGGGTAGAGCGTCATATTTGCCTGACCTAGTCTTTTGTTTTTGTTTTGTTTTGTTTTTTTACCCGGGATCAAACTCGGGACCTTGCACTTTTGAGGCAGGCGGTAAAAGTTTTGTTTTTTCGAGACAGAGTCTTGCTATATACTTTCAGTCTGGCCTTGAACTTACTATGTAGCCCAGGCTGGCCTCAAACTCACAGCAATTCTCCTGCCTCGGCCTCCCAAGTGCTGGTATTACAGGGATGCGCCACCATGCCTGACATTGTTTCTACCCCCTTTCTATCCCTAGGAGCCAGAGCCAGGCTACAAGCGCCTGGCTTGGGGCCAACCTGTAGGCCTGAGACATACAGGCTACGTCATTGAGTTGCAGCATGTTGTTAAGGTGAGGCAGCTATAGCTTTCCTACAGCAGTGCCTGCTGGGGCCAGAATTCAGTGATGAGTCTCCAGCTTGATCGCAAACCTCCCCACTTCCAGGGCCCTAATGGCTGTGTGGAGACCCTGGAAGTGACCTGCAAACGGGCTGATGCTGGGGAAAAGCCCAAGGCTTTTATTCACTGGGTATCAAGGCCTCTAACATGTGAGATTCGTCTTTATGAGCAACTGTGAGTGAACAGAGCTAGGTGGGAGCAGTTATAAGGTGGGCATTGACTGCTGTGGCTGCCCAGCTAGGGGGTCTGACCCACTCTGGCTGTAGATTCCAGCACAAGAACCCTGAAGATCCTGCTGAGGTCCCTGGTGGATTCCTCTGTGACCTGAATCCGGTAGGCTCACAGAGTGTGGAGAGGGTGGTGGGCCTCCCTGGCTGGATTGCTGCCTGAGTTCCCTGCCTACAGGAATCCTTGCGAGTGGTGGAAGCAGCATTAGTAGACTGCTCTGTGGCTCTGGCAAAGCCTTTTGACAAGTTCCAGTTTGAGCGTGTTGGGTACTTCTCCGTGGATCCAGATAGCTGCCAAGGACAGGTACTTGACTTCGTCCACCTGTCCCTTTCAGCCAACAGTGAGGTTGGCTGCCATTGATTGTGATGAGCACTCTGCTCACAGTCCCTTAGCAACCTGTCACCAGTTGAGCTGTGGAGGGGTATTCATGTTCTACAGGTGAAGAAACTGGCTCAGAGAATAAGTCCAGTACACATAATTGTATATATAGACCCTACTTAATCTTCAAAGTAGGGGGCAAGCATGAGGGTTGTTAAAATTCTTCTGAAATTGAGCTCCAGAGCCCTCTGGTCCTTTATCCAAAGTCACAAAGTTATTGAGAACCTGCATCTCCTGATCCCTGTCTCTCAGTTCTCTGGGATGAGGAAGGAGTTACAGTGAAACCTATCCAGGCTATTTGGCCTGGCTCTGCATTAATAGTCATTCTTCTCCCACTGCCCTGCAGCTTGTCTTCAACCGAACTGTCACACTGAAGGAGGACCCAGGAAAGTTGTGAACTGGAAGTAGTGTGGACCTACCTCACCCTCCTGAAGGATGGGGCAGGGGCCCTCATTGCCCCACACTCCAAGTCAATAAATAATAGCTAAATCTTCTGAGGTCTGTGTTGTCTGCTCTTATAGTACCTGAGGACTCATGATGTGCTCTGTGTGTGAGTGTACTTTCCCAGAACAAAGGGACGCTGATAGCTTTAAAACCTCTTATGTGGTGCTTGGCTCTGAGACTTGAACTCCTTTCACCTGTTCTGCGAGGCTGGCGTGCCCTGGAGTTGCTGTACCATGGTTAGAAGCTATATGTTAGAGAGATGTAATTTGTGTCTGTGTTTCCAGGCAAACAGGCTTGCTTCCTAGTCTGATTATTCAGCAAATATTGTCTAGTATGTGCGAAGCATGAGGACATGAGTTAGAAATGTGGTGGCACCTTTCAGGTTCATCTAGGAAAGGGAAAACTACAGCAAGTCTCCATTGTATGGAAAGGATCCTGACCCAGCCTGAGCCTCAGACTATCCATTCTCAAGAAGTAATTTCTGACAAACCCTGAGGACTCGGGGGATTTGCCAGGACAAAATGAAAAGTGCAGAGGCCTAGAGGCACACCAGGCTGGTGGCCCTTTGGGTAGTCTAGGCTGCCATGTGTGCCTGCAGCTTTAATGCTTTCCACATTTTCCCTGTATACAAACACCAAGCTACCCGGGGCCGCTTTAAGGTGGACTTGACTGCTGAAGGCCGAGTTCAAATGGCCGTGCTAGGTTAGGGTCCTAAACGCTGGGAGCGTCAAGAGATGAGCAGCCCAAAAACTTGGGAAGAGGGAAGGAGGAGAGGTGCACGGGGCCCGGGTAGGGGCTTTGTGGGGCCACCTTAAACGAGAGGCCAGCCCGTGCCGGGGCGGGGCCCGCGTGGGGCTGCGCGACTAAAGGAGGCTCCGGCGGGCGGCAGAAGGTGGGTCCTGGGGGAGCTCCCA